ATACCTCTGATCATCATCGAAAGTTTTCTTAAGTGAGTTCAGTAATTTGAGAGGTAATTAATTATATGAAATTGTCTCTATATGGAGCTTTAAGAACCAAGGTAATATAAAACTTATATAATTTTTAATATTATGTAAGAGAACTTATCGGTCAAAATAAAAAAAATTTGCAGACCAAAATGAATTTCATAAATTATTTAGTTTATTTAACCGAGTCTTATCACCAAGTAATGTGTCTATTTCTCGGGATATGTGCATTACTTGTGATGTTGTGCTCGTTTACTTAAATTATTAAATGAATGAGATCCATCTAATATCGTTTTTCAAAAATTAAAATATTATTTTCAAAAATCAAAACATATATATATATATATATATATTAAATTAAATCAAAACCACCGACATAGCTAGTAGTGGAAATGCCAATGTTATGCACGAGGAGACACCACCATAGATTTTTTAAACTTGTCAAACAAGGCTCGAGGTGACTGTTCCAAGCCATAAATTGACTTCCTGAGCCTGCACACTCTGCCCACTGTCTGAATTGTACCGAATTCTGGTGATATGTCCATATACACCTCATCCAGCAACTCACCATGACGAAAAACATTCTTCATGTCAAGTTGGTGTAACCTTCACCCACCATTCACAGCTAGAAAAATTAATGTCGTCACTGTGTTCATCTTCACTACCGATGCAAAGGTCTTGTCATAGTCAATGTTATATGTTTGACTATACCCTTTCTTCATCAATTGTGTATTGTAACATTCAACTTTCCCTTATAGATTTTATTTTACTGTGAAGATCCACTTACACCCAACTGCTCTTTTCTCGGTTGGTAATGGAACAACCTCTCACGTCCTGTTCTTATTGAGAGCACCAAGTCCTCAAGCATAAAGTCATACACTTTGGATCCTCTTTAGCTACCTGCCAAAACTTGGGTATAGAGATAGTGTCTAAAGATGCAATGAATGCTCCGTGTATAGACAATATGTTAGAGTATGAGACAAACTGAGTAATATCCTGTGAAAAACCAAAACAATCAAGAGAATAACGATCAGGAGAACAACCCGCACTGTTGTGAGAGATCATCCTTAATGCAATGGGAGTGGGAGGAGAAGGGAGAGGATTCATATCAGATCATGGAAAGGAAGGCATAGGTGTCTTAAAGGTCGGATAAGACCGAGACATGGGACTTGATGGCACGAGTGACACGACAGCCAATGTTCCTTCATTCTGCCTCCTACTTGTATACACTCTCAGCTCTCTTTGAGCTTGAATCTCTCTACCTTCAGGCTCATTGTCCTCATTTTCTGGCTCTCCCCAGCCAATCCTTCCCACACAATTGGGACAAGACATCAATCTTACATGCTCCATTCTCTGATCATCACTAATCTCCCCCTCATGCCTCATACCTCCAATGTATGACAATTCACTAAATGAGGAGGTGACCTCCAAGATGTAATATGGTTCGAGCTCTCTAAAGGACACTTTCATGCTCACAAATAGTCTATTCTCTATCGAACTCCAACAGACAATTTTTTTGGGTAGCAGAATAACCCATGAAAGCACATTCACAGCTCTAGGATTCAGCTTCAATACTGATAGTTTATTGTCCTTCATAAAACATACACAACCAAAAACCTTCAACGGGAAAATCCCATTATTATCTCCTTTTAACATCTGACAATGAGACATCAAATCCAACACTCGAGGGCATTCTGTTGAACAATCAAACTGTTGTCAAAACTGCTTGTCGTCATAAGTTATTTGAGACATTCATTGTGATCATCATACTTCAAGCTACTTCTAGAAGATTTTTATTTTTCCTCTCTGCTACTTCATTTTATGTCGGTGTATATGAATATGTGGTTTGATGTTATATCTCTTGGGCTGACAAGTATTCCCCGAATGTCTTGTTGGTATACTCCGTCTCATTATCAAATCTCAATACTTTCACTATTGCACCATATTGAGTCGCCGCTCTGTGAAAGTCTTTAAAGCATACAAACGGATGACTTTATTTCTCATCGGATATAATCAAGTAACACGAGAAAAACAAACAATGAAAGTCACAAAATATCTATAATCATTCATTGAAGTTGTAGAACAAGATCCCCATACATCTGAATATACCGAATCAAAAACATCATAACTCCTATTACCAGAACCAATATAGAAGCTCCTAATATGCTTACCAAAGTTAAAAGAATCACACACAAGTTTTTTATTTATTTGTCTTTACATGCAAGAATAGATGCAAATGACGCAATATATTAAACGAAGAGTGTTTGTGCGCCTGTGATGTAGCAACAACACATTCTCCAAACTCCTCTCAGATACTCCTGCTATAGCATTCTCAACCATGGATATCAAGACTGATTATATCCTCTCTATCCAAGTGTCAGAGTCTACTATGCCAAGTTCCAGTCCCAAGTCTCTAGCCAGTCCCCTTCTCTTGAGATGACCATTGGAATATCAAATGAAACAACATAATCATTGAAGTATAACGACACTAATGGATAAAAAGTTCATTAGAAAGAAAGAAGCATGCAAAATATTAAACAAAATCATAGAATTGGCACACCTTATTGTACCTTTACCAACCATATGTTGTGTTGTACCATCAGGGTCAGAATGCTCTCTGAAATTGCTAGGTGAGTATGGGAAGAAAACTCACTAGCGACACCTATCATATGTCAAGGTGCACCATAATCTATTGTCTATTCTGTTAATCTTGTGGTGGATATATAGACAATAGAATGTGTATCACGAGTGTCTTTTGCTGAGTGAGCATAGCTAGTAGTGTTCACCTTAGATGACGATAAGATAAATGCATTCCTAGTCACATCACCTGCCTCTCCCTGCTTTCCCTTCAACATCTCCAGTAACTCTTGATCCTCATCGTTAAAGGACAACCTGTCTTTCCCTCGTTCTCTACTACCATCAGATTTGTTCGGTAACCCCCTCTTCCACCCCTTGGGCCCCCATGATACGACCAATGCCTCTAGACTGTCCACATCCACCGGTCAGATATCCCTCTATCATTTTTCCTATTAAAACAACCTCGACCCGGCGTGACAAACTCAATTATGTGGTTAGTCCATCAAGTTCAGATCCACAAAAAAGAGATCTAGCTTTACTTGTAAGGTAGCAGTTTTCGTTAAAATGCTAGCTCCATGTATGAGCCCAAAAAAAACTTTCAAAACTTCAGGATCTATTTTCCCCAGAAGTTCCAACTCTTTACTTCTCGCAGTATGTCGGCCTTCTGACATCCTCAAGCACAACGAAAAAGTTCAGATCACACAGGTCACACGCTACTTCCTTCATGCAAGTTCGTGTGCTCCATATTGCCTTAGTTCACATGCAAAATCTAGTGCAACTCCAACAAAGGAAGCCCTGCTTCACTGCTTTCTTTTCACACCGAAGCTGCATTACTGTCTTTCCCCTTCGCTTCGTCTCCGCTGCATCGAGCCGCATTCTCCTTCACGCTCGAACAAAAACCCCGTTTCCTTGCTCGCACTGTAAGCCGCTGGAAACTCGCAACCCTGTTCGAAACTACAGTGACTGAAGCTCTATCCTCCCTGGTAAGTCGCTGTCCTCCTTGCTCGCTCTGGTAAGCCGTTGGGAAGCAATGAAGATCGCAGCACACACAGACAGCCGACGCTCACCAAAGCTAGAGAACGAAGCGAGATTGCAGCGCTCACCGACAGTCGAAGCTCACCTAGCAAGGGAAGCGAAGACGGGATCGCAGCGCACAAGAGCCGCTGAAGCTCTCGTCTTTCTCGTCTTCCACATTCTTCTTCACGCCATCCAGTGAATCTTCACTGTTCACGCGACTGGGGTACGCTTGGCTCTAGATACGAGGAAATATTAGCCTGCTGATTGCAAGAATAAAAAAACGCTCGTATAACGTACCCGGCCCGAATCAATGGCCCCACCGAAACCCGCCCAAATTTATAATTATAATTAAGTTATAAATACATACGTATTAAATTGTATGTAACGAATAGTTAATAACATTATAATAATGAGGTTTAAATCGTGTTATACACGTAGAATTTGAAAATAACCCGTTAAATCATCATATAACATGTGATTTTTGAAAAATAACGCGTTAAATTTGCGGCATAACACATGGAGAATATTTCACTAGACCGTGTGTTAGAACACTATGAATATTCCCAACGTGTTATACCGCGGGTAAGAGAAAATTATAGGGTGGTTGTATAACACGTGGGGCGGCGTTATAACTCGCGGTATAACACGCAGAGAATATTATCACGTATTATACCGCGGGTCAGGGGACTGTATAATTGTGTTAGTATGTGTGTTATTAGTGTATTATTAGTGTGTTATTGTGTATTATTAGTATATTATTAATTTGTTATTAGTGTGTTATAGAACAAAAACAATTTACTTAAAAGTCATAACTTATATTTATTAAGAACTTATAAAAGAATAATAAAATTTAGGACATATATATAACGGAGAAGTCCATCGAAACTAAACACAAAAACCCAAAAAAATATTTCTTCCAAAAACCCTAGCTACATGCGTCCAGTGCTGTGAAATATTTATTTAGCTGAGTGTAAAATAATTTTATGAAAGCTGGCGGGAAATTGATCGGGCGGTGTTTCGGGACGGGTCGCGGGCGAAGCTTTATTTATTTTCCCTATTTTCGTCTATAGGGCTGGGATTCCACGTGGCTTCCGTTAATTGGACTCCGCAAAGGCAATATTTCTTCCTAGATACAGCTTTAAATTGCATTTTCTAGGACATAGTATTTAAATACAGCTATGAAGTGATTCTTCCTGCCGCTCAGCAGCTAAAGCCGTTACCAAACAATCCCTCAGTGATTGGCTCTAGTATCATGTGCCACTATTCATTTTCTTTTATAAATAATCATTTTCTTGTATAAATAACATGTCCTAGATACAGCTTTAAATTGCATTTATGCAATGTTGATGTTAAAGATCAAGATGATAATAAGAGCTAACCTGATCTGGAAGAGTTTGGGCAAGTGCTAGATCATTATGATCGTGGAAGCGCCCTTCAAAATTCTCTTCCACTACATATGTTACCGGAGCATTGACATAATGACTTTCCATTTGCTGCTTTTTCCCTGTTTGGAGTTCCACTTTCATGATAGCCACCTAAAATTCATACCTGTTAGCTGAAAATACCAGTAGAAAGGACCTAAGAGTCTTAAAAACAATAGAAGTTCTAAAAAGAAATTATAAAATACCAAACCCTCATAGTGGAAATGCCAACGTTATGCAGCTTTTGATAAATTTACCCCTCATGAAAGAAAAAAAAAGAAATTATGATAGAACCAGATAATGCCTAATGAGGTACAAAAAATGTTATTGCATTGCTTCCAAAATTTAAGAAACAAACTAAACATTAATTCAACAAAACAGGTCTTACCATACTTACATGAACACTGATTTCAATAAAAACATTTCATTATTTTAAAATGTCTGCAAAGAACCAAGAAACAAATTTTCACAAGCACATTAGGAATATTATTTTTTTCTTATGTAGCTTCACAGATAAAAAGTAGGAAATGGGCAAATGTGTATTCACATGTCATTAAGGAAATTCCTTTTGAACTTAACATTCCGACTTTATATGTTATGGTGAAAATAAAATATAAGCCTAAAACAAGTGTTATGATAAAAAGCTAAGAATACACATTCCTTCATAATGCAGTCAGAAACAAGCAGTAATGCAAGAAAAATACTAAAGAAATACAAGTTTATATGAATATTTATAGCTCGAACCATGTTTCAGGAATCTCCAGCAACATGAACATTTAATGAACTCAACATTTTAAATTTAGAGATTACTACAAAAATAAAATACAAAGCTAGAAGAAGCACAATGATGCACAACGTAAGAATACAGATTCCATGGAGAATAAAATCAGAAACAGAAAGGCGTACGAGAATACCACAAGAGAGTTACAACTTTATATGATGAATTACAATGGGAAGAATGTTTCAGTAGTCCCAACAGCAAAAGTGCACATAAGTGATTATCTAAAAGTCAGAACAACCATCATTTTAGCTGAACAAGGCAACAAGATAAATTATTTACAATAAACATTCGAAAAGCAAGAGAAACCATAGAACTACAACAAACATATGTTTATAATTGTATCAAAGGTTTAAGGGATTATGTGGCCCTTCTACGGTTGGAATATGATAGCATTAGACATGACTATACCTTGAATTAGAGAAAGTCGCCTTAGATGGTTTGGACGCATCAAGCGTCAACCATCTAATGATCCGATTAGGAGAGTTGATGTTTTAGATTCGACTTATGTTATGAAAGACAGGGGTAGACCTAGGAAGACTTGGGCTTATTGTATAATAAATGAAATTAATTTATTAGAACTAAATGAAAATATGACACTAAATAGGACGCAATGGAGAAAAAAGATTCATGTAGTCGACCCCACGTAGTGAGATTAAGGCTTTGTTGTTGTTGTTGTTGTTGTATGGGTATTAAGGCTTTGTTTGGTTAAGCATTTACTTTTATATATGTCTGCCAAAAAGCTGTTTTAAGAAAAAAAACAGCATTTTAAAGATAAATAACAATAACATTCCGAAATAATATGAAAATAGAGTTTTTTAAAAGTTTTTATAAAAAATCATAACCAACAAAAATACTAAATAAATAAATGATTTTTTTTTTTTTCTGAAACAAACACCGTAGGAAGTTTTCTCAAACGAGGCCTACGACTTCACATGAACTTTCCAAGTTCATGTTAAAACCTTCTACTATCATATTATTCACATGAAAATACTTATGAGACATTATAAACGACATGAGGTCATGAACCATAATCCAACTTCAAGCTAAGGCAGGAAAATTAATTGAACTTTGGTTATCATAGCTTCAAAATGTGGCTTATTAGGAAATAGTGATTTATGTAACCTGTGGATAATGTACATGCGGATTGGTGGTATTGTGGTGACCACCCTATCCACACGTAATATTTCTCCCTACGATGAATATCATTTGCTTAGCAAAAGGAAACAATTTAAATATCTCAAATTCTGATCCTATCTAACAAAAGATGCACTAAAATCCACTTTTGTTGGACAAGAATTTCCTAACTTAAAAACAACTAACTGACATCTGGAGGCACAAAACAAAATTATTTGAATTGCTGTTTCCATATAGCCAATACTCTCTCAGAAGAGATGGGTCCATGGAAATCCTGAATCCTTGTATTGCTTAAGCTAAGCAAAACTTCCATCCACTTACCATAACTTTCTCATTAAATTCCCAAGAATCACTTCGTATCGTCTACCTCTGATGAAGGAAAGCACCGGTAAAGAATCCATCGTAATGAATTACGAGTCAGATGAAAGAGAGGTGTATTTTTTCTTTTTTGTTTTTGGGGCAGGGTGAGCGCCTGTGGATCTTGACTTTGTTTCCCGCCGATGTGCTACGCATTCGATCACCGAAAAATAACTCATTAACACTCAACAATTCTTAACGTTAAACACCGTTAAATCATACCATTTCTCCATCTCAAGCTCGGCTCTTCTCTAGAACCAGAAAATACAAACCCTAAATAACGAATCATAAAACCAAACGAAACCGATTTGAGCCAATTTCAAGTAAAGTTTCACCGAATCACCTGCTTGAAAAGCTCTACGCTTTCATTAAAATTCATCGAGAGGGACAATTTTTATCCCGAGATTCCATTTTCCATCTGCATCCAACGCTATAAACAGTGAATTCTTTAATTGCGGAATCTAGAAGGAAGGATAGGGAAGAAGAAAAAGTTTGTTAAGGGATGATGAAGGACAGCTTTCCCGACGCTCCCTCCACTCGGCAGTCGTTGGTCGGTAGCAGAATCCACGCCGCCGAGTGTGGTAGCAGACAGAGATTCAGCGCCGAAGATGTTCTCCTGAGTTGAGGACTGACTCAGTCCTCAGGCGTGGAATGTGCTACCCGCCACAAAGTGTTGACACGAATTAGTCATGCCTCTGAGGTCTGATTTGAGAAACCGGGGAAGGTGGGGGCTGGAATCAGGGGTGTAAACGGATCAAACACGGATTAACAGAACGTGTGTTCGTATTTGGCTCGTTTGAAATTTAATTTGTTTGAAATAAGCTCGTGCTCACAATTATTCGTGAAGTTACTTTTCTTAACGATATCTATATTAATATATTACTAATATAGTTCATTAATATATTATTTTTATTAATTTATTATATATTATAATTTATAAAATTTAATTTTTTAAAATATCATAATATTTTTATATATAATTATTTTAAATTATTTTATATTTCGAACAATAACGATTCGAACACGAACGAACACATCAACGTTCGTGTTTGATTCGTTTAACTAACCGAACGAAAAAACTTTGTTCATGTTCGTATTGTTTACTTATCGAACGAATCGAACACAAACTCATTGACGAACCGAATACGAACTATTCGCGAACAACGTGTTTTTTTGACAGCCCTAGCTGGAATTTAATGATAGACATGTTTCTTTTGAAGTTGTTTCAATAGCAACGTAATTTTTCATCAAATGATTTGGTTTTCTAAAATAAATATAGAGATATTTTTTACTTAGTTATAAAACACATAATTTTTATAAATTTAATTATTTAATTATGTTAAAACATAAACATAATAAAATATAGTTTATATTAAATGAAATAATATTAATGATATTTTTGATGTAATTTTAATTTTAAAGAGCTATATACATAAATAATTTAGACTTTTGAAGGCGAGTGGATTGATAAATTTTATATTATACACTTCTTAAATAAATTTATAATATTATTAGTGACTATCAACCTTATGGGCAGAACTAGTCTTTCATTAAAAAAAGGCAAATTTATTATATTAATGAATTAATTTAAAAAATGAATAATACATAATTTGAAATAAAACATTATATTTCATTATCATCACTGAATTAAACAATAATTCTAGATTTTTAAATCTATTTTGTATTTTCTAATAATAATGCATAATAAATTCATTTGGAATCAAGTCCGATATTTTTTAAAATATTTAATATAAGAAGGTCATTAAGTTAATCATCAACGATTCGATTGATATTTGATGGTCATCATTGCAAAAAACAATCTCTCAACTGTAACAGTAATAACCAGTAAAGTTAATGTTAAGATAACAAGTCTATAAACTACAGAATTAACATAATTCTTCTTAGCTTTAATAATTTTTCTTACAAGATCAACAATGCCAATTAAAGACGAGAAATATTCACTAATGTGCATGTCAGTAATATTAGTGGATAGCTGATGATCGAGAGCCACAAACGTAATTTTAGAAAGTGTCATTGAGATATAACTTTATATGATGAATTAGTTTTCCCTTATCAAAGAATAAATCACTTTGATTTAGGCATGTCACACAAAAAAGTAATTTAGTTTTGAAACAATTATTCGGCTTTTGAAGTTTTATATCAATCATAGTGTAGAATAATTCAACAAGATAATGTTGTAAATTTGTAATTTCTTTTTCTCTTTGTATTGATCGTCGACAAGCCTTAAAGGTGGAGTTTATATCTTGAACATCAATTTAAAAAACATTACAAACAGAGACTACTTCCAATTAAGAATCCTAATCATTTGCAATCGTCGTTTTAATACCTGCACTAGTTTCATTGCATTCTACTGTGTTGATCTTTTTTGTAAAAATGTAGAAAGTTCATTTATAAACCCTAAAATATCAATCATTAAATACATCATGAAGTAAAGACTAAACTTTTTGTCTGGTCAATTAAAACTCTAGATTTAACTGATTGTTGATCATGCATCTCATCTTCTTTTACAATTGATGCATTTCAAGTATGGATGCGTACTTTTTTACAGGATTAATTAAAGTATAAAAATATGAGCCCCAATGGGTATCAAAAACTCTTTGCAAAGTAATTTCTTTATTCAAACCATGATCGTTAATTAAATATCAAGCTTTATGATGTAAAGAAATTTCTCTTATTGAATAATTTTAAGAGCATCACTCTTCTTAGAAGTAGCTCCAACCATATTTTGGATACTAGAACTGAACTCAAAATATATTTTACTTGCTAAAATTTTTTTGTTACAAACGACCAAACATTACTTAAGTTGATGAGCAAAGCAAGCTTGAGGATTATTATTAAGAATGAGTGATTTCAAACTAGTAAACTCATTTTGTATATTGGATAGCTTGTCATATCCTTGATTTCAAACTACTAAACACACCGCACCACTCCACCACCTCCACAACCACACACCACTACTTCCGCACCACACACCACCACAACCACACCAAACCCTAAGCCCTACAAAACCACCTTCATACTATACACCGACAAATCCACACATATCACACCACCACCTCCACAACAAGCAGTAGCTCTACACCACACTACTACCTATACACCACCTCCGCACCATATACTGTCACCTGAACACCGCACATCATCACTTTCAGACCACACCACAAAATCCAGTATTTAAGGAAACCACTGTAAAACTCACCACCAATACAAACTATGACAGTATAGCACAACCACAAAATCTATTTGTATTTAATTAATTTCCAAATGCAACCACCACCACCACTAAATTTTGGGCAACAACCAACATCACAAGTATCTGAATCCATCAACCAGACAACGAATAGGGAACAAAAACAATCAAACTAAGAAAATAATAGAGAGTCCAACAAATTTGCAAAATCCAATAACAAAACCCAACCCCTCAAATCCATCAATCGAGTAGTGCACCAAAAATTGAAACTCATCAATCGCACGAACTGAAATCCATCAATCGAATTCCACCCAAATTCCAATATCACAACACGACAAACTGAAAACATCACATCACAACAAATAACCAAAATTTTCAACTCTAAAACAAAATGCCTCAATAGAAGCTCATAGAGAATATGGTGAAGGCAACAGAGATCCAATGATTTGAACTCAGCCGAAGGACAGAGAGGAGAATGACATGTATTGAGAAAGGCAAGCTCACTGCAACAATCACCAAGCGCTGATCTAGATCGAGCAAAAGCATTGAGGGGAGAGGGAGAGGAGAAGAGAAAGGAACCATACCCTGGCCATAGATCGAAGAGGATTAAGAGATCCAATTTAGGACAAAAATTGCAAGAGATGTGATAAGGGAGAGGGGCTTGAGAGTGGTGACGAAAGAAATCGCGAGAGCTTTCAGTGGGAAGGATAGTAAATAAATTGCAAAGAAACGTGGGCCACAGGATCAAACACATGGTCCAGATTTCATATGGCTTTCCTGAAAATACGACCACACCGCATTAACCAAACACTCCTAATTGTGTTTTCAGACTGCACCATGACAAATAAGCTGCACCAAATGAATTCTAAGTTATGCCCTAAGTTATCTGGTATATGCCACATCATTACTAACATATAATTTCTTAGTTATATTTTTTGAAAGCATCTATGCATAAATAAGTCCTTTTTAATGTTAGGGTGCAGTTTTACTCTAGAGTTCACTATTGGAGATATAATTAATTATGAAGGTTTGCTCATGCAGGGATATCAAACTCGAGAATAATACAAACTCTATCATACACCCTTAAGGTATGTGAAAAATCTTATGTTCACGTAGACCAATAAATCCTTAAGATTTTCATCATCCAAATGATTAGATCTATTCTAAGGTAATATTTTTTCCCATTGAGGTGGTATATTATCCTTTAAATATCATATAAGTCATTCACATAGAAATCTTTCAAGATATGTGGTTGACATGAAGAGAAAAAATACAATATTACATTAGTAGAATGAGTATTTCTCTTTAAAAATGAATGTCATTCAAAATCGTTTACTCGTATTATCTATTTGGGCATGTTCATCTCCAACATAGTCATCAACCATGTGCTCATTGAATGTGAAGTTAACTAAAAATTAGTTTTTAGTTCATTTGTAATTATATGAATATTCATAAATATTAATGAATTACATACCTTCGCACCCATATCTTATTTGTAAAGGCAAAGATAGCCCTTTGGATTCCTTATAATTGACTTTAATAGAGTTCTACGTAGGCAACCTTTTAATGGGCATTTGAGTCAACAAAGATGGAGCTCCCATTGAAGCTATCGAATCAATAATTAATGTCTCAAAAGGATCAATAATGTGAGGGGTAGTTGATGTCCCCTAGGAATAATTATCTTTTTTTTTCTCTCTTTTTGAACTATCTTTCCTCTTTCTTTCCCTTGATGATCAAATGCTAAAATGAGTTTGACCATTGGAATATTGAATTTTTCTTTTGAGATCTTCACCATCAGGATCACGGAGAAAGTGAGACCTAGAAGAAGAAAGCACCTAAAAAAAGAAGAGAAAGACTTGAAGGGAATATTTAACGTACCCCTTTAACCCTATTTATAACCTGAAAATTAATAATTCAATTAAATATAATCATTATACTATGACAATAATTATTATTGTTATTTTCTTTTCCTCAGTTTTGTTAGTAAAAAGATAAGAGAATTGTGAACTAAATATATATGGTCCCAAGTCCAAATAAAGAGTTTAGGCAAGTCCATAGAAAGAGTTTAGGGCAGGTCTAAAATATGAATGGAGAAAATTCATCGAGCTAACTAGATAATTCAACCAATCAATTAACTCAACAAGAGAGTTCTGACCTACATCTCACCTACATTGATTTGTGCACAAATGTGCTTTAGAACTAAGACAACTCAACAATTTGTGAAAGAAGCCAAACTCACCTCATAGTTGAGCTAGTAGAATTCTCGTAGTCCAATTCCCCTCAAAGATTTAGCTTGACTCATGGCTGATTTGACTAGTAAAGGCATCACCAGCAATACTTGGGTAAATTCTTCATATAAGGAATAATTATCCATGTTGGGTGATAAGAGAATTATTAATGAGAGAGGTCTAGGATCTTTCAAGACCTAACTCTTACGAGTACTTGATCTATAATTCATAAACATACACTTCTATAAATAAGGGTCATCATTGCAATCTAAG